CCCTCGGCGCCTCAAAACCCTCGCCTCCGCCGGCGCCCCCTCCCCCATGGCCTCCGCCGCCGCCCCCGCCTCCTCGGAGGAGGCCGTCAAGGTAGGCCCCGCCGCCAGCCCTCTCCCTCCGCCCCGCCCCGTCCCCCGTGCTCCCGCCGCCGCGGGCGCTCGTGGGGATCTCCGCGGCCCGTGTTCTTTCCCCCCCTTCCTGTTCCTGGGATTTCGGCGCCTGATTCGGTCCGTACGGTTGGTGCCGGTGTTCGCTTTGTGCGCAGGCGGCGAAGGTTCTGATGGTCGGGGCTGGAGGCATCGGGTGCGAGCTCCTCAAGACCCTCGCGCTCTCGGGCTTCAGGGACATCCACGTCGTAAGTTTGTTATCTACTATACTACATGGCCCCTTGCTTCGGCGCCCTTTGTTGACACCGCGCCTAGGTTTAGTTCGAATCTAGCTTGCACATTAGCTGTTGTCGGCAGCACCGCGGTGGATGGCCGGTGCGTCTCTTTGTCGGTAGCGGGATCTGTGATGGTGTTAGCGTTGACTTGAAGCTGAAAAATAGATGCATAAACTGCTTCTGCAGCTAATCTATCCAAGGTTTTCCTCTAGGCTGCGCTTACTTGCATCTGCGCTGGCGTGATTGTATTGATTTTATGGCGCTGGTACTGCCTTCTTAGATTGTGCATTAGGAATTTGATAACACACCTTTGTTTGGCTTTTGATAAAATGACACACTTGTTGTCACTTACATATAGTCAATGGCCGCAAAGTGTGTCATTTGTATCAAAGTTACAGACAAAGGTGTGTTGTTTTGTCAAAAATTTCATTGTGCATAGGGCGAGCCCAGTTGGCTCATGTTTTATGCACTGTCATGAAAGGTGATATCTTCGCGGTACTTCCTTGAGGTTGATGTACCTTGTATGCAAAATAGTTTTAAAACAGGCAGGGAGTAATCCTTGTTCAGGCAACCAGAGCTACACAAATCAATTTGCTTGACACACTTATGAAATGGTTCATCTTGCTGCTTTTATTATGCAGATTGACTTGGACACAATTGAGGTCAGCAATCTGAACAGACAGTTTTTGTTTCGGAAGAGTCATGTGGGACAGTCAAAAGCCCATGTAAGTATATTTTCTACATGAACATATGATGGGTATAGTTATCTTGGGGACTTCTTCATAATTGATGCCTGCTTATGATGTTTCCACCATTGATTTTGTCAGGTTGCTCGTGATGCTATTCTGAAATTTAGGCCAAACATCAATATAGAATCACACCATGCAAATGTTAAGGATGCCCAGTTCAATGTTGACTTTTTCAAGCAGTTTAATGTAGTTTTGAATGGCCTTGATAACTTGGATGCTAGACGACATGTGAATCGCCTCTGCCTTGCTGCTGAAGTTCCATTGGTTGAGAGTGGGACCACTGGGTTTCTCGGACAGGTCAGTTGACCAAATATCATGGTTTTTGTCTCTTTATCTTTGCATCTCCCTTGTCACTAATGCCTGTGGGTATTGTTATGTTTGTCTTTTGTATTTTGCTTGTAGTACTCCTGCTACAAGGTATTCCATGATATTTGATTGTTGGCCAGTGTGCTAACCGCTGGTGGTCCCTTTTCATTTTCTTAGTAAGATAGCAGTAATATTTACCCTAGGTGTACAACCTTCCACTTGAGATGGCCATCGTGTACTTTCTGATAACATGGCTAAATGTTTGGTCTGGGCCTTTGCACAATTACGTAAGGACACATGCAGAAATGCATTGTCATTTTGAAACTGGACCTTCTGGGTGTATATAAGCTCACATGTATAACAGAAAGTAGGCATCTGCCCACTCTCTTCCACAAGAGCTGCTTATGCATGCTTTAAAAAAATGCCGAATTTAAATCCTATATACAACCCGCAGCATGTCGTGCTGGTATTTATGCTATATTTTGTGTATGCTTTGCATATGGTTGACATTTGTTTGATAGTCGTGTACATATCATTGCATTTTGTAGTTGACTTGAAGCTGAAAAATAAGAGCCGAATAAGAGACATAATCTGGAAACTTGTACATCAAATAGTTGTGCCACGAGCATGCAATATGAGTCAACATTTGATCATGTACATCAATTGCCAAAACTCAAGTGTTATTTTGATATAAATGCATGCCATTTAGTGGCCAGGCCTAAACTGCTTGGTATAAAACAAGTTTTCTGTACCTCACTGTTGTTTTAAGAGAGAAGTGCATATTACACCCCTCAACTCTAGCCCTAGTCTAATATACACCCCCAACTCCAATACCGTCTAGTTTACACCCCCAACTCTCAAAACTAGGCGGAATTCAACCCTCTCCTCCCCGTTGACCGGTTTTGTCCCAGTTGACTGGTGAATAGTAACTAAAAAAAATCAAAAAATTCTTTTGTTTCTTCAACACATGAACAGTAAATTCAAAAAAAAGTTGGAAATAAAATTCAAGAAAAAAATACTAATTTCTCCAAAAAAATAATTATTTTTGCATGGACGATTTTTCAGCGCATGATGTCCGTGCCAATTTCAGCTTGTTTGGACATTTCAGTGGTCTCTCAACAAAAAAAATCCCAAACTGTTAACTGTTTCATAGACGTCATATTTGTCTTTTTTGCTGAGAGCTACTCAGATGTCCGAACAAGCTGAAAATTGGAACGAACATCACGCAATCAAACATCATCCATGCAAAAATAATTCAGAATTTTTTTTATTTTTTTTGAATTTACTGCTCACCTAACAAAATATCAAAAAAATTAAAAATCAATTTTTTTGAATTTTTATTTTTATTTTGAACTTTTTTGAATTTATTGTTCACCCGGTGAAAAAATGAAATTATTATTTTTTAATTTGTATTTCTTTTGAATTTACTGTTCACCCAGTCAACAGGTCAAAACCGGTCAACGGGGAGGGGAAGGTTGAATTCCGCCTGGTTTTGTGAGTTGGGGGGTGTAAACTAGACGGTATTGAAGTTGGGGGGTGTGTATTAGACTGGGGCTAGAGTTGAGGGGTGTAATATGCACTTCTCTCTTGTTTTAAACATACTCGTTATTTATAGCGCATCTGTCAACTGTGAAACCAATGTTTCAACCAATGTTTCACGGTCACTGAACTAATCAAGGAGTCTGGCTCTCTGCTGAATAGGTCAAGTTAATGCTTTACTAAAAGCAATTGTCATTCTATTTTGCAGGTTACCGTTCATGTCAAGGGTAAAACAGAATGCTATGAATGCCAACCTAAGCCTATCCCAAAATCATATCCAGTCTGCACAATTACAAGCACTCCATCAAAGGTTCCTCTTTTTGCCTCTGCATGTTGATTATTTTCATGTCTGCTTTTCTTATTGTGATATTATTTAAGTTCTGCTATTTCTTCTGAGGCTAAGTATCATGTTGGTTTGTATGTTCTTAATATGCATAGTTAGTTTTGTTTAATGTGGGAAGGAATATTTCTTATATAGTTAGTTAGTATTTTTTGTATTAAATTATTAATGGCTTCATACCCCTGTAACCCTGTTTATATCTAGAAATAAGCTTATTTATTCGGCCTTTGTTTCTTGGATTAGTTCTGATGGAACCTTGCAAGAAAAGTCATTTAAACTGGATGCTGTTCGACCTAGTTGCCTAATATTGTACTCCCTCTGTCCGGGTTTATTGGGCCCGGAGACAAGATTGGCAGGACCAAGGAACCTAGTGACTGGCCTTGATTAAGGTGAAAATTTCCAGTGTTTAATTGTGACGTACGTTTTGGTAGCCACGTAATTTAATGCACACTCTAGGTAATCCAGCCAGCAGCCCAGAGTTCACGCGCATGCTGATGCTTGGCCGTTAGCATGGCCAATCTGAAGACTAGGAGAAGCGCATGCGTCTGTTTAGGTCGCTGCATGCAATGGGCTAGTTAATTTCCCTCGGTCCTCTGGAACTGAATGAGTTTGATTTCAAGAAAATTAATTAGAAGGGCCTTATAAATCGGGACGTAGTATTGTGGCTGAGAGGCCTAATAAACCTGGACGGAGGGAGTACTCCCTCCATCCCGAGTTACTTGTCGCTCAAACAGATGTATCTAGCATTGAAATACATCTAGATACATCCATTTTGCTTTACTGCAGTATCATTTATGAATGCTGCATATCTTGGAATCCTCAAAATGTGAGTTTAATGCACAGAAGATACATTCTAACAAACATTCATTTGCTTGCTTTTGGTAGTCACAGTTCTCATGTAATTAGTATTTGAAGTATCAACATTTTTTACTTGGTAAATTTTGAAATATTTTTCAAAACACACAACGAGCTTTAATGGCATTATTTAATTTCCTTTTTGCAGTTTGTTCATTGCATTGTTTGGGCAAAGGAGCTTCTTTTTGCTAAGCTATTTGGTGATAAGAACCAAGATAATGACCTTAATGTGCATTCAAAAGATGGCAGCAGTTCAAAGTCAGATGTCTTTGAAAGGGATGTTGATGAAGATCTTGATCAGTATGCTCAGAGGATTTATGATCATGTATTTGGTTATAATATCGAAGTTGCCTTAGAGAATGAAGAAACCTGGAAGAATCGGAGAAGACCAAATCCAGTATACATTAGAGACACATTACCTGAAGCAGTAAAGCAAAATGGTAGCTCGCGGGACTGCAGTAATGATCATGAAGAGCCTTCTGCTATGGCATCTTTAGGTCTTACAAATCCTCAAGAGATATGGACTCTGGCTGAAAATTCAAGAGTGCTTTTGGAGGCTTTTAAATTGTTTTTTGAGAAAAGAGAGAAGGTCTGTATATGTTAAGTTCAAGTTCTGTAAACTTTTAAGAAATATTTTTTTTGTATATGATTCGTTTTTTCTGATCTCAGGAAATAGGGAACTTGGTTTTTGACAAGGATGACCAGTTAGCAGTTGAGTTTGTTACTGCTGCGGCTAATATCAGAGCTCACTCTTTTGGTATACCACTACATAGCCTATTTGAAGCTAAAGGTGTTGCTGGAAACATAGTTCATGCTGTGGCAACAACAAATGCTATAGTAGCTGGTCTCATTGTTATCGAAGCAATCAAAGTTCTCCGGGATGATTACAAGAACTACAGGTGACTATACTTAATTTGTGCTGCTGTTGTTACAGTTCAGTTTACCTGCTTTCTGGATATGGTAGTTCGAAAAGAGTGCTGCTGTTGCGACTTTTCTGGCACCCCTTTTTACATGGTATCATATGCTATTCATGCATTTCTGTGCCTATCTCACCGGCAATACAGTAAATACTGTAACTTCATTTTTCACATGTTACAGAATGACATATTGTCTTGAACATCCTACAAAGAAGTTGCTCCTGATGCCTGTAGAACCTTTTGAACCTAATACATCATGCTATGTCTGCTCTGAGGTATTTTGCACTGTCTAAGATGTCTCGGTTCTTATATGTTAGTCCCATCTTTTGTATCTGACATGAAACTAAAACTGAATGCATCAGACCCCTCTTCTGCTGGATGTTAACACTAAGGTCACAAAGCTTAAGGAGGTTATCGACAAGATTATAAAAAGCAAACTTGGAATGAACCTACCGTTGGTAATGATTGGCTCTACACTTGTTTTTGAGGATGGCGATGGCTTAGAGGAAGACGAGGCTGCAAACTATGCTTTAAACCTTGAGAAGGTACTATCCTCGTATACTCATAATGTTTCATGTTCAAGGCAAGGGCCAACGGAACAATGCACTCCCATGTCATTTGTCCCCTTTCTAGTCTGTGGCCCTCGTGTTTCCATATTTTCGATTACAATATATTTATTGCCAGCTTGGTGTTGATCAACTATTACAGGTCTTGGCCGAACTGCCAGCTCCAGTTATTAATGGTACAAAGCTTACCGTTGAGGATTTCCAGCAGGAGCTGTCATGCAGCATCAACATCAAGCACAGGTTCATATCCGTATTTTCCTTGTATTAATGCCAGTTATGTCTTCTAAAACTATGCCTTAGCTGGATGTTTGCATCGTATATAAAATTATTGGGTTCCCCTTGCCTTCCAAGTTCCAACAGCGTTTATAAAGTACGAGTATTAGTTATGACGACTCTTGTGCAATAAAAACTGGTTGTAGATTTATACAATATACATAGAGCACCTTCATACAATTTTGCTAATTAAAGTTAGCTGATGATTTCCCACTGTCCCAGAGTGGTAGCATGATGCTAAAACTGACGTTGTTTTACAAAATGTTTTCACATACAAATTGGTTTTATCATGTAATGTTCTTCACACATTCCATGCTTAATATCATACCTCATATACATGGATAGATTGCTCTAGCAGACGCAAATGTGACCTGAATACTGTATTTCTGTCATATGCATACTTTTTCACTTCAGTACCTCTGTCAACAACTAGAGCTTAATTTCTTCTGTGATCCATGCAGGGAAGAGTTTGACGAGGAGAAAGAGCCTGACGGAATGGTTTTATCTGGATGGTCTGCTCCGGTGGAGAAACAGATTAATAGTAACGGGGAGAGCAAGTCGGCAGCTTCTTCATCCAGTGCGCATGCCACTGATGACACCGTTGAGGATCCATCTAAACCTGGGATGAAGCGCAAGCTGGATGAACTGTTGGAAACAAAGGAAAACTGTGATGCATCCAGTAGTGCTCAGGTTGTTGAAGACGATGATGATTGTGTGATGCTTGACGGGAACCCAGCGTTAATCAAGAAAAAGAGATTGCAATAGCAGTCGATCCTGTCTTGCTCGTCTAGAGATAATAGCTGTTGACCCCTGCTGTCATGGCTAACTCATTGTTCCAACGTAGCATCTTTGGTAACTTATCTATGTGGTGATGTGCTGATGATGATATTGAGCTATCAGTGACTACCCCTGGGACATATTTTTTGGCTTTAGATACCGCGCCGTAGGAATGTAATTTGTAGTTGAGTTTGTAGGCACAGGAGCGACTAATGCCCTGCTGACAGTCAGCTGTAAGGGTAAAATTGTGTTTCTCTGCTAAGGAGAATGGATTATAATTTTTGCTCTTCTTTCTGTATCGTATTGGTAATGTTGTCGGGGGAACTTCAGCTGGAAGGGGAATGACAAGCGAATGCTTTTTCTTGAGCTCAAACGCGCGAGATCTTGCTGGCTGTTTTAGTTGCTGATGAGATCAAATGGTGGCAGTTTTAAAGGAAAAATATCTTCTTTGAAGAAACTGTCAATGTTGTCCCGAAGAAGTTCTTCGAAATGCCACCGGCCCACCTCATCCCACCGAATCGTTCGCATTTCGGTTATGTTTTGTTTCTTTTAACAGTTCCCTGGTAAAAAATCAAACAATCTGCATCCAATTTGCCAAGATCAAGAGTTGATTCTAAGAAAAATCTCCAAACTACCATTTGCGGCAGCAAACAACTGAACTGCCATTTTAGAACTCCCTCCGTTCCGAATTACTTGTCTTGAATTTGTCTAGATACGGATGTATCTAGAGTGCTAGATGCATCGTATTTAGACAAATATAAGACAAGTAATTCGGAACGGAGAGAGTAATACACATACCCAATGCAACAGATGAACAAGTTCGCTCGTTGACGCTTTCCATCTCAGCAAGCAAAACCAGACGAACAAGATGCTCCAAATCAACAGTCCAGTTCATCAGGACGCCAACAGAATGCCTTCCAGCAGAACAGCAGCCGCAACACACAATCCATCCGCACAAGGAAACCTACAATTCTGACGCCGTTTCGGGCAAATGCATCCTCAAGAAATCGAACAGGGAAACTAAATCAATCAGTGCAGGAAAGTCCGCGCTAATTTCCGGCCGCCGCCCGTCTTCCGGAGGCCTTCCAGGAACGCCGCCCCTCTGAAATGCGACGCGAGCGCGCAGAACGCGATCCCGAGCAGCAGCGCCGCGAGCCTCCGGAGCCCGCTCGTCCTCTTCCTCCTCCTCGCTCCTCCCCACACCGCCGCCCAGATGCCGAGCGCCTGGCCCAGCCCCGACGCGCGCCAGGCCTCCGCGAGGACGGCGAGCCTGTCGCCCAGGGCCAGGGAGAGGACGAGCAGCACCACGTCCTCGGCGGGCGCCTTCCGCCTCCCCCTTCGCCCGAGCCATCCGCCGCGGAGAGGGCGCGGGCGCGGGAGGAGGCGGCGGAGGGAGGAGGAGACCAGGCGGCGGAGAGGCGGGGGCGGGAACACGATGGGCTTGGGCTTCGCACGGCGGCGGCGGCGGGAGCGGCCGCTGCAGCTGATGGCGAAGGAGGCGGTGACGGCAAGGGCGAGCGGGAGGTGCCCGGCGGGTCCGGGGAGTTGCGGCGGGAGCATAGTGATCCGCGGAGTCGAGCGGAGGGGAGGGGGCTCGCGTCCTCGGATGTTCCCTTTTGATTTTGGAGGCCCCAAATAGGCGGAGGCGCAACGGCACAAGGATGACGTCTACCCGCCTGACACGTGTGTTCTATCTGCAGGTTTTAGAGGTAATTGCTCTGCTTCATAGATAAAGATTAACTAATCTGCATACCTAAAGAAAAAAAGATGAACCAATGTGCAAAGTATAAGCTCAAAATCGTGTTATCCAGAAATCAAGAGTGCATATAATGCTCAGAGGGTGGTCACAGGCAAAATCAAATTGTTCTCCAACATTCCATCAGCAAATCCAATTATCCATACGTCCATAGCTCTCCCAAAATTTCATCAACAATTTGTGTTACACTTTCCTATGATCTATCATCAACAATGTTGTTTACAACACGAACAACAAATCAACACCTTGTAAAATTGAATAAACAGCAACTTCAAAATCTGTATCAGAAATGCTATTACAACACACAACAGGATCAATGGGGCAATGTTTTTATTTGACGGATGGCGTGGAGGTGCAGCACGCTCTTTGACCTTTGTGCAACGCACATCTCTTCCTCCCCGCGATTGGCTGATTCTTGCAAGGTGAACCATCGGATGCTCGAGCTCCACAGACAGATGGCCATCCCGACCTTCCGGAACATGGTGCCGATGAAGCACCAGTGACCTCAATTCCTCTGTGCTCCTCGCATCTTTCCCTTCCTGCCACTGGTGCCAGTTTGCAGTACCCATTATCTGTCACTGCTCCACATATGGCTGATGCGTTGTCGTTTGCTTCTCTTGTCTGACATCCTTGGCCTCTCAACGATGGTGCGCTGGCTGATTTCTGTGCTTTGAGCAGCTCAAACCACTTTCTTCCAACAGGCTCATCTTGGTGGAACTGAGATTCTGCATGGGAGGTTCCATATGCTTCATCTTCTGTAGGAGCTTCTCCGATTTTCATCTCCTTTGCTTCCAAGCTGCTCCTTTGCAGTGATGGTTCTTTAGCATTTGTCGACAGATTTTTGGACTGGTCTGCACTGGTTTGCCATGCTTGATCAGGTTTGCTTGGATTAGCAGTTTGTTGAGGTATAGATTCAACAGTTGGAATAGCAACTGGGCAAGTGGAGCTAGAAGAAGATACTTTGTGACTGTATGCGACTCTGACTCTTCTACCTTTGTGCAACTCACACCTCTTCCTTCCTTCCAATGGGTCCTCCAGACAAGAAGAACCATCTTCTAGCATTACTCCACAAACAGCTTCGGCTTCTCTTATCGGCGCAGTTCGCCGTTCAATAACATCGACCTTTTTCACCTTGTATCCTTCAGACCTTCTATGTGCTTGTTTATTACCAGCAGTATTGGCCTGAGGTGTGCATTTCCGGTGAATATCAATTGCCTCGTTCAAATCGTCACCAGAGTTAACTAAACGAGGTCTGAAGCCGACAAACGTGCGGACTCTTGGAAGCATATTTTTCATACTGCCAGATGAAATCTCAACAGACCCAGTACTGTTAATCTTTATACCTGCTTTCTCTCCAAACACCCTCTGTTTTAAGTGCCGAACTCTGCCAAGCAAAGATAATCTATGGCTTCCCTGTTCTAACTTGAGCAGTATTTCTTCGCGACGGCACGCACCATTCTGAAGTTTGTTCCATGCATAATCAAATACTCCCAGTAGCTGAGCTTCAGTCTTCTCAGCTGCTTTTTTGGAACCCATCTGTTTTTGCCCACAGTAACGAAGACATTAGGCACAATGGCAAGTATATTTTCAACATAATCACAATACAAACGGCTAGAGATAAAAATGATCTGTTCTGTTTCTGTACAAGCTACTAAGAAGCATTGTTATGGATCTCCCTTCATACATCACTTTCGAAGGAAGATTTCACATACTCACTTCAAACCACTACTTACCAAATATGGCTAGGTAAATGCGTACAAATCAATTTCCATGAACAGTGTGCATGATTTAATTAGGTTATGCATATTGCCAGGTACCAACTACAGTCCATTCGGTGCTGAAGGCAATATTGTGGAAACAGTTAAGACAAGACTACTCATGGATTAATAGAGTATATGTAGTATGTCTGCACCAAACAGCCAACATGTATACTTTATAACTAAAAACATTAGCAAGGGTTCAAACTTCAAAGGAAAGGACATATTAACACGACACTCTTATATGCAAATTTGAACAGCATGAGTATGAGAATTTGCAGAAACTTCAAAAGGAAGTCTTCGACACATTATCAACACAGAAGAAGACCAAGTAACTACTTTGCAGGAGGCTATGATGCTGTTCTTAAACCTAAAGGGCACGAGAACTTGCAGCCTGGATTGACATATTTTAATAACTCTCAGACACAATAGATGCGTGTACTCGTATATCATCAAACTATGAGACATCATTGGTGTGTTAGAGCACACTTGTGTATGACAGTTCAACAAACCCCTTCTCATCTTAAGAAGTGGAAAACAAGCATGAAAACACTTACCAGCGCACATCGAAACATCACGGAGTAACCTCTGGAGAAGACTTCCCTGAACAATCCAGGTCCTGCCGTGAACGTGTTCACCTCAGCTTTACCGACAGTAGCCAATGGATTCCCGGCGTCCAGGTGTGACCCTGTCCGTCCGTACTGCTGGAGCCTCGCCCTGACATTATCGGCCTGCCCGAGGTACACCACCACGACGACAATTGATCGATTTCTGCGAGCCCTGACACCATCATAGGAAGGCCTTGCAACGCCCAGCTCGTAGAGGCCAGGGAAGTTGTCCGGGAGGTTGCGTGTGTGATACCTCTGGACCCCCTCCTTGCCGGCGGAGTGGTCCTCCCAGTCCGACGGCCCGACAAGAACCTGCGAAGAGAATTCAGGAGCAAATCAAGCTAGAATCAAGAACCCAAGATTTTACAATCCGACCCTAGAATTTGAATCTGAGGCGCGGGGTGGAAATCGCGTAGCAGTATGGATGGATGCCACGGGCCGGATCTCGTCAACTACGTTCCAATCAGGAAAGCTCGCGGCGGCCGCGGCCAGTAGCAGATGGCAAGCAGAGAGGGGGGAGCACGCACGCACCTTCCACGGGGAGAAGAGGGAGTCGTGTTTGGTGCGGGGGCAGTCCTCCCGCTTCAGTCTGGCGGCGGCGACCAAAGGCATCGCTAGGCCGCCCTTGCCTAGCGTGCTCTCTGGTGTCTGGCAGGTAGGCTCAGCGCCGCCGCCGGTCGCATCACCGCCGGGAGAGGGGCTGTCGTCTTTCGAAAATCCCGGCCTGATTTGGAATTTTGGACTAGGCACGCATCGGCGCGTTCCGACCCTAGCCGGGCTCTATCCCTCGGTCGGGATCGGTCCAGCCGTTCACACAGATGCGGCTCAGAGCAACTCATAGTTTGACAATCAAATAAATATCTTATACTTTACACGACAAATAAATGTTCAATTGTCTCAACCATTTGAAAGAAAAATAGACGATACGTTCATTGATTGCCTGCAGTTAAGTATGAGTTTCCCGATCACGTATTTGATGATGAAATTCAATGAACTGTGTAAATATTGCTGCTCTTCCATGCTCAAGCACACCATTTTCACATTGAAACTAAAACCCTTGGTCGTAGATATCATCCGGACGCTCATTCTCTACGATCATACTGTGCATGATCACACAAGTACTCATCACTCCCACAACTTCTTGGTGCTTCAAATTCTACCAGAATACCGAACGATGCCCCATCAAAATTGAAGAACACCAAAGGCATGCTTCACATCCTTCCTAACACTTTGTTGCTCTTGGAAAAATCTCTTCCTCTTCTCTCCTACATGGTTGGGGATTGTCTTCACAAGAGTAGTCCACTTAGGATAGATACCATCAGCTAGGTAGTATACTTTGTTGTAGTGGTGGCCACCGATCTCAATATTGATCTTGTTGGGAAATGTAGCATGCAATTTAAATTTTTTTCCTAGGCTCACGCAAGATCTATCTAGAAGATGCATAGCAACGAGAGGTGGAGAGTGTGTCCACGTACCCTCGTAGATCGAAAGCGGAAGCGTTTGACAACGCGTTTGATGTAGTCGAATTTCTTCTAGATCCGACCGATCAAGCACCGAACGTACGACACCTCCGAGTTCTGCATACGTCCAGCGCGATGACGCCCTAGCCTTCTTGATCCAGTAAGGTGTCGAGAAAGTAGATGAGTTCCGTCAACACAACGGCATGGTGACAGTGTTGGTGAAGTGATCTGCGCAGGTGTGACGCCCGGATAATCAAGCTACAGTAACCTCTGCTAATGATGCCACGTCACCACTCTTACTGTTGTAAATCTCATGATGGTTCAATCCCGTTCGAATTCAAAAATTCAAAATCAAGTCAAACGGTAAAGTTTTCAAACATCAAAATTAAAATGTTCTAGAGGTGGCAAATAATGCTTAGGTAATTATGGTGGAGGATCACATTTTTATAAAATAATTAAAAGCACTAAACTAAATAAAACAGTGGCTTATACAAATAATTAGATGCATTTTATAAATATTAAAACATTAAACTATTTTATTAGGTATGAGAAATTAATGTGGCAATAGAGTGTTTATAAATACTAATTTAGGGGCTAATGGTATATTTTATAAAACTAAAAGTAAATAAAACAAAAGAAACTACAAAAAAACAGAAACAAACAAAAAAAGGGAAAGAGAGAAAGGCCCCCACTGGGTTTCGGCCCAGCAGGCCGGCCCATTCGGCCACAGGCCCAGGCCGCCCCCCACTCCCCCATAACCCCTGGGCGACCAAACCCTAACCCCCAACGCACCATTCCCCCCACTCGCTCCCACGTTCCCCGTCTCTCGATCCAAATCTGGATCGGGGACGAAACCCCCTCGACGCCGTCCCCATCGCCT